AGCTACAGAGATAACTACAGAGATAGCTACAGAGATATCTACAGAGATAGCTACAGCGATATCTACAGAGATAGCTACAGAGAAAATACTGCAGACCACGACCAGCCTAATGGAGGTCAGTCGTGTGGCTCGAGCTTCAACATGGCTTTTTGCAGATTCTTGCATTACTTCCTGTATATTTGGTTTTTATTGATTTTAGGCATCTAGAAACCAACTGCCATTCAAATGTAGTGTTTTGTTCCATATGGAGAACTAAGAATTGTGTTATCATATGTACAGAAACATCAAGATAAAAAGAAGAACAGTGTTTGCTTTTACTGTGCTGTCATGAAGAGATATTGTAAATTAAAGTTTTGACATCAAGAGTAGAGCCAGCTGCCTATTTGGCTCTTCAATGTTTTCAAGTAGGTTTTCTCATGGAGACACCCGCCTGCATCCTCACTTATTAAAGCCATCACTTCAGCTGCACCTGCAGGTGGTAAAGACACCTGCGTTTGGAGGCTTCGATCTGCCGGTAAATGCCATTCTTCCAGAATCGAACCAGAAACTGCACGGCTTCCTTTTCCTTTTCTTTTGCTTACGTTTGCGTTTGAAAGGTCTTCAGTGTCAGACAGCGATTTTAGAAATCAAAAGATCCCACCACTTTTTTCTTTCCCCCTCCTGGGCTGTATAATTTTCATGGCTACATTGATCCCGACATATAAAAAGGAAATCCTACAAAGAGCGAACGTGTGGGCGGTGAATTAAAAGCTGGCAAGTGTGAACGGCAGTTAGCACCTGGGCTTCAAATGGCTTCGACCTCTGCACCTGCACAAAACCAGACGTCACCTTTAGACGCGTTTTCCTTTAGCGTTCTTCTCAAATTTGTTTCTGATTTGCCCACTAGCAGAGCTTCGCATTAACTTAGGTCAGCCAGGGCACCTTAAAGTGCAGAAAAACTCAACTGTTCGTGGTGTTTTTGCTCAAATAAATTCTGTAAATCTTTTAGCTGAGTGTTTGTTCAGCACCGGTTGATATCAGCCTCTCAGGTGTCCTCGGGCTTTTATTCCAGCCCTCTAACCACAGATTTGCTTGCACCTGCAGGGCAGATGAATCCACTCAAGAGAGTCCGTCAAGAGGAAAACGAACAAATCTCTAGGATTTTTTAGACTTTCACTATTTTTATACTAAAACAGCAGCCGAACACACACACAGTGGGAGGTAAAAAAACTCTCTGGATGCAGGCAGGAATCTGCTTTTAAGCTTACTTTGTTGTTTTTCTTGATTAAAAAGATTTATTTTACTACAAACTGATGTTTTTTAGTGGCTAAACAAACACAGTAACTACAAAACGGGTTTGTCAAATAAAATTAACAAATATTCAGCTTATTTTGAAGGTTGAGTTCTCTGCCAGAATTTAATACAAAGATCAGCTTTTCTTGAAAAATGTTCAGGTTTTAGAGTTTTTGGTCAGTTTTTTTTGGGGGGGGTTGGGAGTGGCGGGGGGTGGGGGGGTGACAGATGAAGCTTTGTCCCTAGTTACCCATGTCCCAGGAGAAAATTGATATTTGGCTCGTTTCCAAGGACAAGCGGGGGATTCAGAGTCAGATAAGCCATGACATTAGCTTCAGAGCTAATATACATAGTGTTAGCTCCAGAGCTAATATTTATGACGTTAGCTTCAGAACTAATAGCCTATACATAATGTTAGCTCCAGAGATAATATATATGACCTTAGTTCCAGAGCTAATGTTAATGATGTTAGCTTCAGAACTAATAGCCTATACATAATGTTAGCTCCAGAGCTAATATTTATGACGGTAGCTTCAGAGCTAATATTTATGACGTTAGCTTCAGGGCTAATAAATTAAACATCATTTGTTTAATTGTTTCGACCCATATATTGTGCATAAGGACTAATATAAAATATAACTTTATTGTCACGTGTTATAACTTTTTAGCCTTGACTCCTTGTGTTTAAGTCTCCACTACAACCAATGTACGTCAATGCCCCAGAATGCATTATGCCGGTAAAATAAAGGTGACTTCCTTTGGTGGATGTAATAAACATACATAATTATTTTTAATAATTATGAGTTTTCCTGTGTCACAAACAACAACATTTAGTAGAATAGATAAATTATATAATAATATGTACAAGTAGTCAGACACACTTTAAAGTTGGTATATCTTGATAAAGGATGTCTTGTAGGAAGGGCAGCAGAGTTGTTTCAAACTAAAATATGTGTGAAATCTTGAAAACAATTCAAGTGTGCAGACTTCAGAAACTTTGAGAGCTCAAAGAAGCGCTTCCATTACCAACACGGTTTATTTTAGTTTTTTTTTTTTATCACCCCCACAGCTCTCTGAAAGTTGATGCAGTTTATGAGTTGATGCTATCCACTCCACACAGAAATGCTAAACAGTCTAGGGTTGCACCATCCCCCGGCGGGTTGCCTGTCCCCTGCAGCTCGCCCTCCGTGCACTCTCCTGCGAAAAGACCAGCGTCGATGGCTGCTGCGATATCTCGCAGGCTCGATTTGCTGTGGAAAATGAGTGGTTACTGTTCCAGGGCTGTTTATAACCTCTCAGGAGAGGCAGTGCTGAGGGCTACAGCTTGTTAAAGAGCCATTTGAGACGTGCATTAGGACGCTGACGGTTGGCGCGTCGTAAAAAAAAACAACTAATATTTAAAGGTGTTTTGTTTTTCCTCGGTAGACGAGTTGGCAGAGCATCAGGCCCTTATTGCAGGCTTTTTCTTGCTGAGTCTAATCACCATTAAATGTTAAGGGAGGGGGTGCCTTGAGAGACCAACAGCTGTAATGGCGTGGTCCGGTTTGGTGATAAAGCCCACAATAACACTTTGTGGACAGTCACGACTCGGAGCACGGAACTAATCAATACCGCCCTCAAGATAAAACTCTTCCTGCTAATTGGCGTGATGTGGAGTTTAAAAAAACAACTTTTAAACTTCACAGTTCCCCAAAGAAGCAAGTCGTATACGCTAATCCGTGGAACAGAGTTAATAAAAGATACATCAACGCAGGGTGCTGTAACATCCGAGACGTGCATCTGGTCCTTCAGAGTGATAAAAATCTTAATATAGATCTGTCATGCTCTCAAGTGGCATCGGTCTTATTGCTGTGCAGGACAAAGCTGCAATATGAGACTGATGTCACTGCTGCTTTTAGGTAGACGTCAGTCCTCTGTGTCCAAGAAAGCATTTACCGTAGGTCGAGATCTCGCCTTTTATACTCGTTCTTGATGAACAAGCATGTATCAAACACGTACGTTGGGCTTTTTCTTGATGTACGTTCGTTTTTCTTTTGTCTGCAGAAAGAGATTCCAGTGGAGAAGACGCCCACGAGTCCAAATCGCCTGACCTCTTTGGACGTGTCCGTGGTAAACGAGCTGAATCACAGCAGCCCCAGCAGCTTGTACCCGGACGCGAGCTTGAGCGGCCTCCAAGGGGACGCGGGGAAGAGAGTGGAGGACGGCCGCAAAGTCGACGAGCCCCTGTCGTCGTCCAGCTTCGTAGGCAGGACCGGGGCGGATCCTATGGGCTCGCTTAGCGACTCGCTCTACGACAGTTTCTCGTCCTGTGCCAGTCAGGGCTCCAACGGCGTCTGAGGGTGTCTGGACTTTTGTCAGGTTGAATGGTACAACTAAATTATACGGTGGATTTTCAGGCCATTCTGACATTTGTTTGCAATATATATATATATATTTTGTCAGCCAAGTCACCAATGCCAACAATATCTTAGCTTCTAGACCTTTGACCATGCCGTTTTTGACGTGGCGGATAAACCTGACAGCTTTCAGAACAATCTAACGCATTGCCTCAAATCTAACCAAGCTGCTTCATAAATCAAACCACATTTAAACGTATCAGTCCCTTTTTGGGGGGCAATTTGGAAAATATAAGTCAACACATACACAGAAAAAAAGGTCAAAAACAGATTTGGACTGCAACCCTCATATGCTGGATGAACGTTTATTCCATCACCAGCTTGCAACTTTTTACTGTGAACCTTGTTTTGATCTCATTGTAATAGTAAATTGTATATTTTTGGTTCTAGGTACTTCAAGTAAAAATGGACGATTTAACAGTGACAAGCACGCAGAACAAATATGCAGTTTTTATTGTTAAGTTACAAAAACTCCATTCAAGCCCATGAGTTTGAGTTGCTGATACATGAAATGTCCATTAAAATGGATCAAAACCACTTGAAGCAAAACGTTGCAAGAGATTTTAATTTATTTTTATGATTTTCAGTTAGTTATCCTTGGATTTGTTTTTAGCATTTTTGGGGGGGTAAGTAAAATCGGGGACTGCAGCCACCAATTATTATCCACCTGAAAAGAATCTTGCTCACCTATCAACTTCAGTGCGGCCCGAACAGCAACGTGTACCCCCACAAATGTTATATGAAAACGTCCGGCTCGGCGCCGTGATGTGTGCTATTACATTTATTGGCATTTCGAGTTACCATGGTGACGTATTTGCAAACAAAGACGCCATTTTTCCTCATTGAAAAACACTTATAGAGCTCAAAGTTCATGCTCAGTAATCCAGGTAAAAAAGACCAGCAATGTTCAGTCCGGTCATTGGAACGGTTTCTTTTTTTGTTGAGACGTTTCCTCCTTCATCCAAAGGACTTCATCAGTCCGAGGAGCCACAAATAAACTCAGTCCGACAAGCAGCACACTCCCGTAGTGGACCAACCAGTTTGCTGGTGATAAGATTGTTTTGCCACTTTGGCTATGGGTGCCTCAGAGGAGGCGACTGGCTCCAGAAACCATCTTATCACCAGCAAAACTGTTTGGTCCACTACGTGATTGTGCTGCTTGTGGGACTGAGTTTATTTGTGGCTCCTTGGACCGATGAAGTCCTTTGGATGAAGGACAAAATGTCTCAACAACAACAAAAAAATGAAAGCATCCAGATGACCTGACTGAACTCATGTACGTTTTAAAATGGCTGTCACATGGCAGTCCCCATAAAAGTTTCTCCAGGAACTTTCCAGTTGAACGTTACTTCTTGATCTGCAAATGCAAGGTTGCAGCAATTTCTTTATTAAACCTTTTGATTTTGTTTTTCCGATGGGTAAAAAAATTAATTTTAGGAAGAGGGAGAATTGTAGATAAAGATCCAACTTTCAGCTCGATTGTTACAAACTAGCAAGTTCCCAGAGAAACTTTGACGGGGACTGCCCAGTCGCATGCATTTTAAATTTTTGATTTGACAGTACTAAGTGTTGGGGTCCGTTCTCAGCTACCACCACACCAAATTTCAGCTCAATGTTGCAAAAAGTCAATGACTTAGTCATTTTTTTCTTGTAAGCTATGGTGGCCATCTTGGATTTTTGATCTGGATCCAGTGGGGAAGGTTCTCAGCTTTAACCACACTAAATTTCAGCTCTGTATGTGTAAAAATAGCTGAGTTAAATAGGCCTGTCACAATAACAAATTTTGTTAGGTGATTAATTGTCTCAGAAATTATTGCGATAAACGATAATATTGTTTGAAATTTGACCATAATTAGTAATTATGGTCAAATTTAAGAAGAAATGTTGGTTAATTTGTTTTGCGTGTAGTAACTTTTTTCGACCACAGGATGGCAGTATAAGACTGTTTGAACCGAAGGATGGATAGTGAGGGAGCGAGCAGCGTGTCTCTTTAAGAAAAATGGGAGGGAGGCCCCTTGACGTGACATGGGCTGTCTCTCTTCGGACGCTTGGTGTGGATTGAGCGCTTTAGCATAACATTTTTCATATAGAGCTTTTAATTAAAAAAAAAAATCAGTAAACAAGTTCTCAGCTTCTTTTTGCAGAGAAAAACAACTTTTTACACGAAGGTACAGGTTTCAACTGTGAATTTTGGCGCTTCGACAAGACAGAGGTTTTTTTCCTCGAGGTCGGCCTGTTAGCTTAGCTCGTAGTTTAGCTTCTCAGCTTAGCTGCTTTTAATGATCCAAAAACGCCATGTTGGATGGTTAAAATGGATTTTAAAGAGAAAGGGAGGGGACAGTGAAGAGCACCGGAGTTGAAACTTTTGTCATCCAGTGTCTTCAGTAGAAAGAGAGAGACATGAAGAAACGATAAAGACGATAAATGAAAATGAGGTCGATAATTTTCATTCATCATGCGATTAACTGATTTATTGTTTATTGCGACAGGCCTAGCATTAAAGCCATTTAAATGTAGCTTTGGTGGCCATCTTGATTTTTTCCCCCCTATTATTTATTGGACATTGCTCTCAGTTACCACCACACCAAATTTCAGCTTAATATCTCTAAAAACGGTTGATTTACAATAATTGTCCTTTATAGCTCAGGTGGCCATCTTGGATATTTGATTTGCAATCAGAGTCTATGAAAAATTACTAATAAAAACGGCATCTTTGTTTGCAAATTACATTGCCATGGTAACTTCAAACGCCAATAAAAGTAATAGCACATATCACGGTGCCGAGCCGGTCGTTTTGATATAACATTTATGGTGGTACGTACACGTTGCAGTTTGAGTCACATTAAAGTTATTGGAAAAGTAAAGTTAAGAAACCCTTGTCAGGTGGATAATAATAGGTGCTGCCTTTCAAGGCAGACCTCTTTTTTTACTCTTGATTAGGTTTATGAACGCGAACCTACTCCCTTAAATTTAAGAAAACACGGGCTAACTTCCACCACACAATGACCAGCCTCATTTCTTTCTTGCAAAGGACAGAAAACGGGTGCAGGCGAGACTTAAACCAGCAGGTGTTAAGCTCAGATTCCCCACAAATCGTGTGAACCATGCAGTAAATTAATTTAAGTGTCTCACAGGTACAATAAACAACCCACCGTCACTGCTGTCAGCTCAGGGAACATACCGGACTCAGAACGATTGTAGGAATCAGCCATCAGGTACATTTCGACACATAAAAGTCACTCTTTTATTTTGGTTATTGACAATTTCCTGAATTCAAGCAGTCTTTTTTTTTTTTTTTCTCAAATGTAGCGTAACGGAAACCTCTACTGTTCTCCTCTCGTAGCTGTACATTATGATGTAAATAAAAATCCTATAAGTTAATATCGGAGCAGAACCCGTCCAGAGGACCGGACTCAAATGTAAATGCCAATCGTTCAACCATTTTCCACGCCTTCTGTTTGAAAATACATTTTCTTGTTGAGTTCTGGGGGGGGGGGGGGGGGGGGGTTAAAGGAAAACAAATATTTTGATCGATAAAGAGTATTTTATCATTTTATTTTAGAGACATATTTGAACTTTTAGGTGAAAATTATGCCAAATTTCTATCAGGAATTTGACCAGCTGGTGCTAATCAGAGCCGACTTTGTTTCTTTTCTACAAAACTGTAATTATTGTATGAAAACAAAACAAAAAAAAAAGGTGAAAAAAGGACTTGTGTATTTTTCTAGGTGTTCAGTATTTATACCCACATTTTGTACTGTCGGACTGTAGCGTAATCATCACCCTTCTTCTTCCTGAAATGCTCCTTTTGTAAAGAGAAACCAGCAGTGTTACTTTGGTAATTATTAAAATTATTGTTATTATTATTATTATTGATGCTGTGTGCAATTCTGTCTGTTACACTAGACTTTATTGTATTTTATGTAACTATTTCCTAAATAAATATGAGAAAATATTTCCTATTTCAAACTGAGCTGCTGGCTCTTTTTTTTTTTTTTTTTTTTTTGTATTCATGTTTAAATTTCAGCTTCAAAAATGGAAAGTTTGCAGCAAACCTGCTCACCGCGGAGGGATACAGAGGCGCATTAGTCCCTCGGTGCGTAATTATTCAGCTTTACGCACGCCTGGATGAACCGGTTCCCGCACACCGGAGCTGGTATTGATCACGGAGCCGTGCGCGCGGGGCCTCATTAGAGCTAAATTACAGGTTAAGTTGGATTTATGTTCTGATGATTCTATTTTGGAGGCAGAAACACGCGGCGCCTTCGTGCTATGGAAGAGGTTAATTAAATGCAAAACGGCAGCGGGGGAAGAAAAAAAAACTATGAAATAAAGTCATTAATCTTAATCACCTGCTGAGTTGATTCCAATCAATTGGCTGGAGGCGCACTTAAGCTTTAATAAATCATAAATAAGCACGTAATTTTAAACCAAAAGTCAACTTTTTGTTGTCTTAAAGCTTCGAGGTCAAATCACGTGGTGCGCGCGTTATCATCTCTGCGCTCCAGCCTCAGTCTCCAGTCGCTCCGGACTCTCTGCCTCCGTCCTCCTCCTCTTCTCCAAACAAGCATCTTGGCAGCCGGGAGAGGATGAGCGCGCTCCTTCCTCCTCCTCCTCGTGCACCGCTCTGACTCCCCGAGTCCTCCTCCTTCTGAGCGACTTCACCGGATTTCTGTCTGATGTTTCTCCTCCGGGCGTCATTTTGGAGAGAATGCGTCTGCTCGTTTTGGCGACTTTGTTTGGAGTCTTTCTGGACGCAGGTAGGCAGAATCACTGATTTTTATTTTTAATAAATAAATGCATAGCTTTAAATTTATAATAATAATAAAAAAACTGCCTTTTAATCTTGACGCATTGTGTCAGTTTGCGCCTGACTTCTTGAACCTGATGAAGTGAAGAGAGTAAAACAGCAGTGAAGCAGAAACCCCTTCTTTAAGCAAAATAACTCCAGCTGCTTTGAGTCTGCTCTTTTTGCCTATAGAGCAAAGAAACCCTCCATGTTTTTTATAGAAACTCGTCATTTTTGACCAAAAGAAAACATTTTCTCCAAAGATCTGACTGATTTTGATTCTAGCTGAATGATCCGGACGCATGCTCAGTAATCCAGATGATCTAACCAGGTTGAGTCAGGTCCTCTGGATGGATTCTTTGTTGTTGAAACGTTTCGTCTTTTATCCTAAAGTCATCTTCATTGCACTAAGAGCACTGTGTGTTGCAGTGTCAGGGCACTAACGATCAATTGTTAAACTGATGGTCCTTTTATATTTGAACAACTAATTCTGGGTGTCATCTGCAAACTGGTTGATCCACTATGAGAAGGTGCTATTTATAAGACTTAGTTTAGTGCAGCTCCTCAGACTGAAGAAGTCCTTTGGATAAAAGACGAAACGTTTCAACAAAGAAGAATCCGTCCAGAGGACCTGACTCAACCTGGTTAGATTCCTCTTTGGAGCTTTGGGTAGCACATGACAGAGGAAGGTTTCAGGGCTGAAGAGGCTGAATGCGAGCCACCAATATGTCAGCAGAGAGATACGCGAAAGAAGTGAACACTGTTCCTTTATACCAAAGTTCGTGCTCAATAATCCAGGTACAAATTCAACACAGTTCAGTCAGGTCATCTGGACGGTTTCTTTTTAAGACATTTCGTCTTTCGTCCAAAGGACTAATTCAGTCCAGGGAGCCACAAACAAACTGGAGTAGCACAAGCACCACACTTCCATAGTGGGGAAAAAAAAAACGAGAAAAAAAAAAACAGCTTGCTGGTGATAACCAGAAACCATCTTATCACCAGCAAATGGGTTTTTTTTTTCCCACCATGGGAGAGTGGTGCTTGTGGGACTCCAGTTTGTTTGTGGCTTCTCGGACTGAAGAAGTCCTTTGGATGAAGGACGAGACGTCTCAGGAATAACAAATAAAAAAAAACGTCCAGATGACTTGACTGAACATTGTTGGACCTTTATTAAAAACCATAACTTTCTGGTCTGTCCTTTTTTTCTGCAGAATGTCACTCCATAAGCCTGAGAAATCAACTTCTACTTGATTTTTCACATATTGTTTCAAAACAATATGAGATAATAAAACCCAACTTAACCTTTCACTTTCATTTCCTGGAGGCAAAGGTGGCCAGCTGAATTAAAAAACACAAAAAATCAGCTGTAACTCAGTCAATATCAGACATGGCCCGAGGGCCAAAAGTGGCCCTTGGACAATCTCATCAGGCCCTCAGTATCCATCCATCCATCCAGCCATCCATCCATCCATCCATCATCTTTACCCGCTTATTCCATTTTGGGTCACGGGGGTCGCTGGTGCCCATGTCCAGCAATCACTGTGCGAGGGGCGGGGTACACCCTGGACAGGTCGCAAGTCCATCACAGGGACACATAGAGACAAACAAGACAAACAACCATTCACTCTTTCATTCACACCTAGGGACAATTTAGAGTTACCAATCAGTCTAACATGCATGTTTTTGGTCTGTGGGAGGAAACCGGAGGACCCGGAGAAAACCCACGCATGCATGGAGAGAACATGCAAACTCCACCCAGAAAGGCACCTGGACCGGGGTTTGAACCAAGGACCTGCTCGCTGAGAGGCAGCAGCTCTACCAGTTGCGCCACCATGCTGCCCGCCCTCAGTATCCTTAGTTTTAAAAAAAATAAATAAATAAAGATTGATTAAACAAAAAAGCAGCAATTTATTAACAAGACTTGAGGAAATTTAAATACTTACTCGAAACTTTTTTAAAACATTTTTTAAGTCATCGTGTTTCCATAACTAGACTGAAACTTAAAGACTTAGAAACACAAACATGTAAGTTTGTTTTGCATATTTTCGCTAACATTTATAACATGTTAAGCTAATGTGCACAAAATGTTAAGTTAACGTGTATGACATCTTAAGCTAACATGTACAACATCTTAAGCTACCGTGCACGACATATTAAGCTAACGTGTATGACATGTTAAGCTAACGTACAAAATGTTAACATATACGACATCTTAAGCTAACATGTACAACATTAAGCTAACATTTACAATATGTTAAGTTAGCATGTACATGTTAACGTATATGACATATTAAGCTAATGTGTATGACATGTTAAGCTAATGTGTACATGTTAAGTTAACGTATATGACATGTTAAACTAACGTGTACAACATTAAGCTAACATGTACAACATGTTAAGTTAACGTATACGACATCTTAAGCTAACGTGTATGACGTTAAGCTAACGTACAACATGTTAAGTTAACATGTACATGTTGTTAAAGTGTATGACATGTTAAGCTAACGTGTACAACATGTTAAGTTAAC